CCAATGAATGAGCTCCGAATAAATAAAATATACCTATGTCGGACCAGCAGACCATTTTTCATTCATTGGAAGTCCACTTAGGGTGATATTTAGCCCATTCCAATTTATTGAGTTAGTTCGTTTTGGGGACCCTCGCGTCTGTCGGGCTACTGGACCCTGAAACCCCATTGCATGATTTTTGATTGATAACCATATTGTATGATATGTTGACCCTACAGTTCGTGCATAAATTCAACATGGTTTTGGGAGCTCAAATATTCCGATCTCGAGTGATAATTTGATTTATTAACCCGTTGATTTTAGGATTAGGTGACTTTTTTCTACCGGATCATTGGAAACCAGCAATTAAAAATGTCGCTTCATGTTATTTGGCTACGTTTCGAATAGTAAATATAGCGGAGCATGTTTTTTATCTGAATTTTCGATATCCAACTTTGTTTGAGGAGGCGGCAAAATTATTTCTCGCTCCACCAAAAATAGCTCGTTTGGTGTCGCAATTTTGGGTCTAGACAATACCAATCTGGACTTACGAAGCAGATAAAGTTATATTTTGTGATCTGATTAACTTACCGTGACAAAAGGCAGAGGTTTATCGTTATGAAAATTTCGCACAAATAATTAAGACATAGGTTGCCAATACTTTTTGCAGGTTCCAACCTGACGCGTTCGTGTCAAAATCAGAATAACGTTACGGTTATATAATTTTAGTCGGGAACATGATTATAATCGAAAACTACATTAGATTTGCTAAATGTGTACAAAGTTCCATGCTAATTTGATAATGCATGCCATAGTTATAACCATTTTTATTTAGCTTGCGTGGGTGGTGCCTATATATGTTCCATTGACTGTATAAGCTAAATATGAAAAGAAAAATTGAAATGCAAGTAATCTCGGTTAAGAAGCTTGTTGTTTTAAAAAACCAGCTTGTTCCTGATTTTTTTCACCTATTTGGCCTAACCTTGTAATTGTATTTTTATTATGTAGCGTCAGCTACTTATTGTGATCGTTTTGTCCGTCCGTCCGTCCGTCTGTCCGTCTGTCCGTCTGTCCGTCTGTCCGTCTGTCCGTAAGCAGGATATCTCCAGAACGAGTCAACATAATCAAACCCCGTTTTCGCCATTGTGCTTCTAATTTTTAGTTCTCGGTCGAGTTCGGAAATTGGGTCAATCGGACCACACCCAACGGCGCCAGGGGGTGTGGTCGAAATTAAAATGGACGTTAATTTTCATGTGGGGTGTCATTTTAAAGGAAATTTGACGGAGATTTCAAGGACGTTAATATTTTTGACCTCATGACCTTGACGACGAGGTCAAAGGTCAAAAAATGCATAATTGTCATATGGGGTGTCATTTTAAAGGAAATTTTACGGCGATTTCAAGGACGTTAATATTTTTGACCTCATGACCTTGAGATCCAGGTCAAGGGTCAAAGATACGTAATTGTCATGGGATATGAGATAATTTTAAATTAAACTTATATCGCTCTGACGCTACTTTTTTATATTCGTTTGGAGGGTTTATTTTAACCGAACAACTCATCCAATGGGGAATTTATCCATCTGCACGGTTTAATCTGCCGGTTTAATTGAGGCATAAAAACGTATACTTTTCAACTCTATTAAATTTTAAAAAATCACATGTTATACATATGTACAAACCGGTGCGGTTAAGTTTCCAATCCTGCTTTGGGACCATCCATACGTTATGTCATCAAAAATTCTGGATTTTATCACCCACCCACCAACCCAACGTAAACATTAAGGGATAGGGAATTATAACAGGCGAAATATAGGGAGACCTAAACCACCCAGCCACCAAAATGATGACGTAATATATGGACGCTCCCTTTTGAAGTCGCCATTTATATTCATTAAATAAAGATAATACCCGAACATGCATAACTTCCTTGGGGCATGACAGGTCCCAATTTTTCACCAATTTTTGCTGCGAGGTTGGATATAAAGGACGCCACGGTAGCTTGTCTTTACCAGTCGACGACTAACTTCTCCTGCAGCGTTAAGAAGTTACCTCTCCAACAAATTAGATAATCGCCATGATACTTATTTCAAAGATAACCTTGAGCTTGGTAATATTTCAGCGTAATTTTAACCAGGGATGCGGTAAAATAAAACGTTATTAATTTTCAAATTTATGTATATAACTTTTAGCTTATCGTGCTCGCCCTTGTGAGCAATTGCGTGGGAAAGCCAACCACCGACGAGGTAAGCTTAACAAATTTAGAGAAAAATAATATGGGCAGGTTTACAATATTTTAAAAATATGTATGGCACTGCTTTAACTAAGCATGTACATTTGTATGTATGTAATAGAAAAAAATTATCAGCACGGTAGACGGCAGTGACCCCTTAAGACAAACTTCCAACCGAACCCCGCGCCAAGGGAGATGGCCGTTTATCATTTATGGCGGATGGTCAGTAAACTTTGCTCAAAATTCGTCTTTTATCCAAGCCGAAAGAATTTAGAGACATCTATCTGACCTTCTATACTTTACATAATTTGAAGATACACGCGGAGGTACTATCTATGGTACTCATTTTTCAGGTATTGGTTAAGGACACGTTCTGTTACCAACAGGAAATAAGTCAGAATTCGCGTACTAAACAAAGTTAGTTAAAAAATGAGCATTTTTACCTTCTGATAGGATTTGTTTGCAGTAACATTTTAGGTGTTTACATAAATAATGACGTCACGTTTGTTTCGTTTACTATTTAATTTTGTACTTATTTTCCGGTGGTGACGAAATGTCTTGTTTATCATTACTCAAAAATAGAGTACTATATATGTTACCTTGGTGGGTGACGAGTTGTCACCAAATTATTTGAAGTGTATGTATGTTAACCACGTTTTCTCCTCTCCTCTGCATTAATTTACCCGTCAATTTTCTTATCAAGTTATACACTTTTATGACAAATTGAGTCTCACTCACATTAAAAAATTCTATTTATTTAGTTCACCTCCGACCCGGCCGACTGCTCTGTCAAAATGGAATCCGTATCCGGCAAGCGGGACACCATCTTTCTGGGAGACTGCACCTCGGGAAGGTGATAACACGAAATTGATTTTCATGCATTTTCATATACTTTTCTCAAAATATTTTACGGGTGTTATTAAAGGTTTAAAATCATTTTTGTGCACTAATTTCGTGCAAGTGTTATTTTATTAACAGTAGAAACACTGGTATACATACTTCGTGATTAAAATTGTGTCCGTATTTTTCAGTGCTTTTTTAGGTGGCGAATGAAAAGTATTGAAAAAATAAGATATTACGAAGTATGTATTAGTTTTTATCGAGATTTGGAATCACACCCCTACACGACCAAATATCTTCTGGTTACATGTTTTTTAATGTTCTACATAACATTACGGCTTGATGTAGATATTTTCATGCTGGATTTCCAAGAGTGGTTTAGGGCGTGACAAGATTTAATCTAACATCTTTTAACGTTTATGTATGTACCCGTAGGAGGAACATGCAACTTCTTGGGAGCACCAGTTCCAGGAACGACATGCAAACTAGTGTGTTCCGCGATACAGGCGCCACCAATGCTCACTTGTCCGCCGGGCACAGCGTGTTGCATGCTGTAAAAGATGGGGGATGTTGAGACGCCCTGATTTTTTTTGGAGGTGTTAATATGTTTCCCAATGTTGGCTATATTTAATGCATAATGTTGATAAGTAATAAGTAAGTAATAAGTAAGTAATTTATTATGTATAATTAGCAAATAAAACTGCAAGTTTGTATACTCGATTAGATAAATTGCCTCAATAAACTTCTGTTTTCTGTCATGAAAATTCCCAATGGTACAAACTTCAACTTCTTACATATATTTAAAAATTGTTTTGTTTTTGTTCATGAGAAACTAGTCATACGAGATTTTGTGTAAGTTTAAATGAAGGGGGGAGTTTTGGAAATTATTGCACTAGCAACAAAGAGGTTAATATTTGTAATAATAGCAACGTTGAGATTTATTTACTGTGTTTAAAATTAATACATATTGTCTTCTTGTACTAGCTACTTAATTACTGTTTGGGGTAATATGATACATAGTTTAATTCGCAATCTCATTTTCTCATTTTGCGGAAAGTTGAGATATGCGCAACAGTCTTGTGCAGAGGTTGCAAGGCTCTGACAAATATCGGATGTTATTTCGGATCTGGTCCGTGGCTGGCTTTATACTACAGGACGGACCGACAAGCACCCGTGTACGTACGTGTTCAACAAATAATTATTCATGCAAATATTCATTTATTGAGATGAAATAGTGGCAACGTTCATTCAATTATTCATTCATTGACAAAGTCTATATCCACAAGGCTTTCAACATTTGAAAATATGGTTTGTTCTTAAAGATGAAATTTTGCTGGGTATGTATACTTAATATTCTTGGGAACTTAGACAATCTGTTGATAATTTACGTCCTCAAGAATGGTAGAAATTCTATGCAGTCTAAATCATAGGGAAGTTTGTCGCTTCAACACTGGTGTGTTATTGTGTCAAATTAAAATAATAACTAACTGTATGTTCCACTAGTTTTAAATAGTTTATGCAATCATACGATTTACAAAAACACAGTTTAGCATAATACGACACATACGATCTATTGTGCAGTTCAATATGACATCAGCATATGCCAGTTGTGCAGTCAGACACGTACGTGTTTGCCGGTGAGACACTTATAGTGACTATGATGACAGCATGGAAATATGGGGTTTAGTCCCAAAAGTTATTTACCACTGTGTAAGTTACCCAGCGTATGTAGCTGCATCATGGTAGTGCTCCAACTGTCCATTATTATTATAATCTTTTCTCATAACTCACCGTATTGTTTGGTGCATATATTATTACAGAAATTGCAGAAAAATATTTTTCCTCAATTCTGCATTAATTATTTTCTCGTAAGAAAAATATTTTGAATTACACACCCTCCATGAAAACATGGGCCTATGCAGGTATGCACTTCTGTATAAATATGACGCACAGATACCCCAAATGAATCATTCCAACACACAAGAACTCAACTATATTTCCAAAAAATATCTAGCAAAACGTTGAAAATGCAAGCAAAAGCATTTTTATTTATATCTCTCTACGCCACCGTCACGCTATTTGGTAATTCCCTGGGGTCAAGTGGGGTCCCCCAATATCTCCTTCAATACGTTGGTGACGAGAATTGCACAACAGGAAACCATTCAGTAAACGTTACCGAATTCGAACACGACTTGATTGCACCGGGCGACGACGAAGCCGTTTATTTCCAAGTGATGGGATTGTAAGTCACATTTTTTGGTTACAATTTTGTTCAAATTTTTTGGTAGGTCGGTGCCAATGAATATTTACTGCGAGGAGGTAAAATTTTGAATTTTTATAAATATAGTTGGAGGATTACCCAATATAATGAACTCGGTCATCACGCCAACCTCTACCTGGACGGAATTGGGGATGAATGTCAGCATATGTGGATAATTTACAATTACCGATGGACCGCAACTCGACTCGGTGATCCATTCCAGATCGAGAAGGAAATTCAACTCTACGGCGGTTCATATTTTCATGGCGTGCCATACAAAGTCAAGGGATCGATGCCGTCAATAATTCCACCGGTGAACGTTGGATCCTTTTTCTTCAGCGGCAATTACTCTTGGGGATTGTTTTCAGGGCCGAATTACACAGGTGACACGGTATGCTTCATGCCAATGATACAAGGGAGGGATTGGGGAATTACGACATTTCCACTGTTTGCTAACGATTTTCCTCTAAGAAGCTTGAAGGAGGGGTGTCATCCTTAAGAAAATGTGTGTCCATATTTGAAGTTTTTGAGGAAATAAATAAATGTCTTAAAAATTTTATATTTGTACATGTTCTTTTAGGAGAAATTTACGATTCCGCATAACAATCACACCTATTTACTTATTATATGTATGAACACCAAAATGCTCAAACTATACATTTATCTATATAGGCAATTGTATTAATAACCTAGCGTATAAGCCCGTCTACCGCCGGGCGACGGAGACTTTTTAACTAAATATTATTATTATACCGATACTTACATTTCACTCTGAAAAAATGGTCACAAATAAATCGTGGTATGTAATTATATATCTGACTCGTTTTTAAAACGCATTGTCTGAATTCGTAACCACTATGTTTTTTACTTGGACCCCAGATGAAGGATTCGTTCATATGTCCGTGTAAAACTCATATTTGGCGCCATGGCGTGGCGCTAAACTTTAAGATTTGCATTTTCGAAAAATTTCAATCCCTAATAACTTTTTCAGTTTACAATGGATTTTCTAAATTTTATGCTCACAAATGATCACAAAAGTGAAAAGTTTGGAGAAAGAAATAAAAACAAAAAAATTATAATTTTTGTGATATTTTTATCATTTTTCGACGAACCCCCATGTATAAGAAAATTACGAGAATTTGCGAAAAGTTAAAAGCGATTTTTTCGAATACTTTCATGGGATACAAAAGTTTAAGTCCTTGTCATGATTTTTGCCCAAAATTTTGAAAATCCGTCCAGGAATTCAAAAGTTAGAAATAAAAACATTCAAATTTGGCGTATTTTGAGCCACGGCACGACGCCGAATGGGAGTTTTGCACGGAAATATGAAGGAATCCTTCATCTTGAACCCTAGTAGATTAATAAAACATAGTGGATACCCAGGACACGATAAGCAGTCGGGAACCTTCCCTCGTTAGTTCAAAAATTCTCTATCATGTGACACCAAACTAAATGCAAAAAATACAAAAGACCCTGATCTATGTAGGTATATCGGAAAATCTGACCACTATTTCTCCTACACTAAAGATTCTTAAATATAAAAAAAACTCGTAACCTGAATTTAAATAGAAAACAAAAATATGATTCGGTTTAGCCAAGTAGTTGATTTAAAAAGGCAACTTGTTCTTGATTCGCTCCTCTAAATTCGCAAATGTATGCACATATGTACCTACATATCTCGTTAAGATCCTATGGTTGGATTGAGGCGTAAAAATGTACACTGTTCACCTCACTTAAAATTTTGAAAAATTACGTGCTACACAAACCGCATTGGGTTAAGCTTGTGGTGTATATAAGTTTCCAATCATGTTTTGAAGCCAGCATTAACATTCATTAAATAAAGATAATGTCCCCATTCACATAAGGCAAGACTGCTCCAAGTTTTTCAACTTGTTGAATATAAAAGACATCTTTATAAAGCTTACCTTTACCAGTCGTCCGTTAATTTCACCTTGCTTTACAACGTTTAGAAATTGCTTCTCTGACAAATTAGATCCATAATAGCCATGAAACTTATTTTGAAAACACCTTGGAGCCTGGTAAGACTTTAACTATACAAGTTTATTTATTTTTTACTGCGATCAACTGAAACTTAAATACATCAGTTTCAAATTTATAACTTTTATGTAGCTTATCCTGCTTGCAAGTGTAAGAAATTGCGTTGGGAAATCAACCCGTGACGGAGTAAGCTAAATAAACACATTTACGGGAATCAAATTACGGCAAACTTAAAGTGTTTTAAAAAGATGGCACTGCTTCTAATATTCAACAGAAACAAGTTCCTATCAGCATGGTCAAACAGAAAAACCTTTTTACGCAAACTTCTACCCGAACCTCACGCCAAAGGGACTGGCCGCTTATGATTTATGGCGGATGGTTAGTAAACCAGGGGGGGAATTCAATTGTGACATGCGTAAGCATAGATTTTGCTTACGCATTGCTGAGCATAGATTTTGCTCAGCAAAAAACGCGATTCAATAGATAAGCATGCGGAAGTTCAAAATTTGCGTATCTCTTGTCTTTTGCTTAGCACTGCGCAAGTTTTTCAACCACAAAACAGTGTCAGCTGGCAAAACTTATCAGAACAGTTATCTAGGTCGGAGTTTGCTTATGTAGCTAATTGTCACAACAAAATAATATTTATGTGGTATGGATTCGAAAAGTTCAGTTAAGATGGAATTAGTTGACACAAATGGAAAGAGTAAGAAATTATAATTATAAATATTTATTTTGGGAATGTTCAGAAAACACGAAACGCAAAATTAGTCATTTTTTTACACATCCCTCGTAGAGGGATATAGTCCATTTTTACACCCCATTTTTTTAACTGATCAAGGGGACCAGTAACACAACAGCCTAACCCCTCCCCTGCTTTGCGTTACGTATTTTATGAGCTTTCCCTCTAATAAAAATAGGTCAATTAATAAATACTTTGTAGGACGCCCAAACTTTTCCACTAAGGAATGTGAGGCTTTGGTCGACACCGTTGGACTTCACTACGATGCACTCTTTGGAAGATTTAGTTCAACCTTGACCAACAATCGGAAAAATGAGCTATGGGATGATGTCACCGAAAAAGTTAATGCTGTCTCTTCCGTTAACATTCCTAGAAGCGTAGCCGAGGTGAAAAAGAAGTATCAAGTTTTGAAAAGTAGCGTGAAAAAAATCGAGACCAACAATTCGAATGAAATGAAAAAAACTGGAGGAGGGTCTGCGATTCTACAACCCCAAAATACCGTAGGAGAGAAAATTTTGGCACTTGTTCCACGGGTCGAAATTTCAGGAATTGAGGGTGGAATCGACATTAGTAAAAGTTAGTACGCTTAATTCAATTCCCGTCAGTCAAGCACAATTTTTAAACTCTTTCTTAAAATATTTAGTGTCGACCGTTGATACTGCGCCATTAAACTTGATCTCGGTAACGGGCCTCATCCCAATTGGAGACACGGGCTCAAGAACAAACAAACCGGCTGATGCTTCGGAAGAAAATGCTCCACATTTTTTCAAGAAACAAACGAAACGTCCTCTGGAAACTACTCTTTTCGCATTACAAGCTAAACAAGTTAAATTATTGGAGACTCAAACAATGCAACTGGCACAAATAGTTGATTTATTGGCGGAGCGAAACTCAATTGAAAAGGAGAAGCTACAAATTATGAAAAATAATTAATCCTCATCATTCATTTCTCTAATTATTTGATTATAAATATCTTCATCTTCGTTCAGTAATGCGATATTAGTCGTATGACAAAAGTTGTGAAGCGTGATTGTTGAAATAATTAGGCGACAAACTTTTGTTGGAGTATAGCAAAGTTCTCCCCCGGTCCTGTTAAAATGTTAATCAGCGATACACTAATTTTTAAAGGTTTAATAAATCGTTTAATTACCTGTGCATGGATCTAAACCTACTTTTCCATCGTCCAATTGTGCATTCAATGGCACATCGAACGGACGTTAACCTTTTATTGTAATCGTTCTGAAAAGGAGTAATAATTCCCCTAGCATAAGGAACCTCCATAAACGGAGAACGAGAATATCCTGAGTCACCTAAATAGATACAAAATAAATACATTAAATTAAAATTCCACTTTACTTCTTAGCTATTACCTACCTATTAATTTTCCATTCCCAAATTCTCCTGTCAAAAATCGGTGATGAATGTGAGAATTTCGGAACACAAACGAGTCATGTGCGCCACCCGGATTACTTGCCACGGCGTCAATGAATCGGAATTGGTCGTCGCAAACAATTTGGACATTGATTGAGTGGTTTTGTTTTCTATTCACGAATGACCTTTCGTCTTGACTTGGCGAAATTATATTCACATGTGACCCATCGATAATTCCTATTATATTTGGAAATCTACTCTTGGCATGAAAGGCTGTAGAAATTCTTTTCTGTTCAGCTGCATCGGGAAAAGATACGATTTTTGGCGACTCCGTAACAAGACTCGGCTGACCTAAAATAAAATCGTAGAGAGCGATTGTAATCTTACAACATAATATAAGCGAGTGTTAATATTACTTAATATTAAAACTTTTACCTGCTCTATAATTCTTGACGCGGTTGGTTGGGATAATCCACAATCTGACCCCATTAACCATTGAAAACGTCCTGATCGAAAGAACCCCAGTGTCGTAAGAACTTTAGATTCCGCCGTCACAGCATGATTTGTAAATTGTTTCGGTTCCACATGTGGTTCTAACCACCCCAAAATCTCTCTAGCTCCCCACCATGGCAAGCCAGTGTGCTTTCTAATTTCAAATTCGGAGAGGCTCTCAAGTAACTTTCTTTGGGGATAGCGTCGATTACGTTCATTCCTCAAAACAAACAATGGCACCGACATGTTTCTTTAACCCTTTAAGAAGTATAATTAACTACAAGAAAGTATTTATTTGGGGACGTTATAAATATGTTGTGGCGACAGTGCGGGAGGAGGAAAGTGATTCACTGAAGTATTGATAAATATTAACTTTGGGCAAGGAAATGTTCAAATTAACATTTGGTTAAGAAAAGAGAAATCCCTCAAAGTTACAACAGATTTTACGCCGCGGAGAGAAAATCATGAAAATCAATGACCTCCTAGAAACGACCACAATTTTGCAGGACGGCTTTAATTTTTCTCTCGAGTTAAACCATCTCTTACAATCCATCTCCGACAATTATCGTTTCAAATCAAAGGGTTAAAATGATAAGGCAGACAGGTACATACATTGGCTATGGAAGTTATTTAAGCAAGAGATAATACTGCTCCCGAGTACTTTAAAAATACGCAAGGTTTAAGAATTATATTTCTAATTGAATAAGATTTTTGGCGTAAGTGTATGAGTAAGCAAATTCCTAAATTCGGATTAATTGAATCCAAATTTTCCATTGCTTAGCAAAATCTATGCTTACGCAATGCTTATCTTCGAATTGAATTCCCCCCCAGGGTTTTGCCATCCAACGGGAAATACGCCAAAAAATTGATGTACCAAGCAAGCGTGATGTGGTGTTTTTAAAAAAATTGAGCACTTTATCTGAATACAAGATCTAGTTACATTAAAATTTTACACTTTTAAATAACGTCACATTTACTTGGTGTGCGATTTAGTTTTTACCCGTTAGTGATAAACCGGCTCCTTCATAATTACCTAAACATAGAGTACTACATATATACCCTGGGCACATATCTTATCTCCGCCGGTGACCATTTATCTCCCAATTATTTTTATCACGTTTCCTCCACCAAATTTAACTACTCTTTGATATTCTATTAAATTATAGTCCCTCATACTAAATCAAGTCAAACTCAGATTAAACAATGCTATGTATTTACTTAGTTCACCCCCTAAACGACAGGCTGCCCTGTCAAAATGGAATCCATACCAGGTCAGTAGGACGCCATCATTCTTCGAGACTGCACCTCGGCTAGGTAATAATTTTCCTTTTCTTGATAGCTTTACCTCAAGAGAAAAAAATCAGCTCACTTTCCAGACAGGTTTTGATAAGCGACTTTTTTGCGGTACTGAAAAAGTTTCATTTTTGCAATATAATGACATGCGAAAATTAGTATTCGCTATAGAATGCGGTTATGTACATACGTTTATAACCAAAAGGCAAACATGCAATCAGCAACCTTACTGTACTCTGATTTATGCGTGCTTTAATTTTATCCACGTCTTTTTTTCTTGAATAGCGTGCATCTGTTTAGCACCCACTTGTTACGGTGATGGCGATACTTCCACCTGCAACAACCAATTTCTAGGTCCCCAGTTTCTTGGCAGGTCGGCCACCTGCCAATTTGTAAGTGAACAATGCGGGTTTCGATGTCAAGGTGGATACTTCAATGAATGCCTCTCGATTTAAAAATAACACTGTTACATAACCTGGATCGATGTGTTTTTAAAATAAACTCACAATTGAATGTTGATTATAAATTGATGTGTTAATTTCATTTCACGTCATTTTTATTCTGACAACTTATACTACAAGCAGCTAATTAATAAAAACTGGATGGTGTAAAAGCGTATTTTTAAGTACATCATCAACATCAACCGCTTATTCCTATGGATTTTTATATGGTAGTGCATACATAAACACGAAAATTAAATTCCATTGGAAATCCACAAAATACAGAGCTTTGGATTTTATCCACCAATAAATATGCGCAACGGTATTAATACAATTTTATTTGTATTTGATTATATTAGTAGTAATCAATTCCAGCGTTGTTAAATATGTACATAATTGACTAATTACTTCATTAACAATACTCGAACCGTGTACTTGGCGCAAAAACCCAAGATCACCAATGGTGTCGAAATTACAATGAAATTATTCCCGAATCTAATCTTCATTGGGGTACACGACCTGATAACCCTTTCCACCACATGCCTCTCCATCTTCGCAGTAGGAGCTGTACAATTTTTCCGAAATTTCGTTACACATTTTGTCGACCATTTATACACAAAGCCAGCAAACGTGCCCAACACGATGGTAAACATAGTCGAGAGAGTCGTAGCCATAGGGAGGAATAAATTTCCAATGTGATCAAGTAATCTAGCACCTAATAAAATGGTCAAACTCAGTCCCAAAATGTTCGACACGATTACTCCCACAACTGTTGTGGGAAGTGATACTTTACGTAGGCAAAGGTTAATCTGCGCCACAAAAATTTGCAGCTGGTTGTAAATCTGTAACGAAATGGTTAGTCTTGTCCCACGCAATGGGTCATCTGACCTGAAATACAGAGGAGTGAAGGCCTTAGACTCGAATTTGCATTAAAGTATAGAATGAAATTATAAACTGGAAACGATTTAATAACGTGGGACGCGATGAGTAATCGCCCAAATTATTTAATACATTTTTATCACTTGTCGAATCTAGTAATTTATTCTAAAGCTCTGAACAACTAATTTGTAGTTAGTTAGTTAGCTTAGCTTACTAATAAAATCGCCGTGAATTTCTTTAAATTAAGGAAAGCAAATTCCGAGAAGTAGTAATTCGGAAATGGTCTGATACTAGGGATCTGCTACATTCCCTACAAATTAGTCGTCCAGAATTGTAACATAAATTCTAGGAGCCGAGAAATGATGAAAATGTGCTGATTTCGACGATTTAGGCGATGATTCATCCAGTCGTACTTTAACATTGACGCGATGCTTCAAACCATGTTGCAATGATAATGATATTATCCTTTTAAAATATTTACCTCTTCAGATAGGAAAGATGTTCAATAACACAATGCAGCGACTCGAAAAGGACCGTGAACATGAAGCACGTTAATGACCCAGCCAGGCAAAATATTGCACACCCTTGCACCACCAGTAGAAATACAAACCCAACTTTGCTAGAAGAATCATTCCATCCACATCCCAGAAACGGCTTCATACCCGCTTCGATAACCATGAGTAGAACTAGCACACTTGGAGCCGCTATCCGAAGAAAGTTGGAAAAATTGTTGTTCAACTTGGATATGAATTTCCACTTTGCGACAAGATTTTTCGGAGGATCTACAAATAGTAGGAATATATTAACTTATCGGTACTCCGCATTACTCGATAGTTGACTCGAGGACTCATCCCTAAAATAATCAAAATCGGTATTTTTAAACCATTTTCGGTTTTTGGGATGTATTTAAAAATTCTGGGCGAATATCGTTCTAATTTTTAGCCCGAGTCAGGGCTTATGGAACCGTCATGTCCGTCCGTCCGTCCGTCCGTCCGTCCGTCCGTCCGTCTGTCCGGCACGATAGAGCCAAAACGGCTGAACCGATTGACTTGAAATTTTTACCATATGTATATTGGACAAAGTTAGGAAACGAGTTCGAAGATGGGCCAAATCGGTCAAGTGGTTGACCGGTGGGGGTCATCGGAGTGGTGGGGTATTATGCACCAAAATTTCAAAATTGTCGTAGAAAGCTGAAATTTGGTACAGAGGTTGCTAATGCCTCCTAATATATAAAATTGACATCAAGTTGGAAAAATTTTCATCTGGAGGGACCCTGGAGGGTGACCCATACCGATTTTTCAAAATTGTCATATCGAGCTGAAATTTGATACACAAGTTGCGTGTGGGTCTTAATGGAAGAATATGAAATGACATTTGTAAAATTTTTATCTGGAGCGACCCTATGGGGTGACCCATACCGATTTTTAGAAAGTGGTTGAAAAAGATGAAATCCAGCACGGTGATACTTAATGGCTCCTTATGAAATAATATGAAGTTAAAAGTTTGCAAAATGCAACCAGAGTGACCCTGGGGGTGACCCATACTGATTTTTCGAAATCTTCATATCGAGCTGAAATTTGGTATGGAGGCTGGACTATATGCAACTCAGTATGTATTTCAATTCAGACAAGAAGCGGACTCGGACTTATCGAGTCAAGGACTCTGTCCCTGACTCGGGCTATATGGAGTCTGCACTGTAGGTTTTTAAAAATGTGTATGCACTAAAGATTTTGACACATTTTAAAGGAGATATGAAGTTTCTGAATCCTTCTGAAAAATTGGGCTGAGAGAAACTGACTTTAACAACTCCCCGTTGTTTTATTAATCAACTTACTCCTGTAAATTTGTCGTCTAAAATTTTAAAATAAATTTCCAGCGTTAAAAAAATTGAGTAATGAGTCATCAACCCGAACATTAAGAAGATACAAAAATCTATATAATTCTTAACTTAAATATACGTAATTATTAATTTACTTAGCAAGGTTCCGTTGATATTTTCCAGTATAAATTTTTGTCTTCCGTTCAGTAAAGATATAAAAGGATTAAGCTGAATAAACATGGGAGAAAGGATTACTAATGATAAGGAAAAGGTAAGCAAGACAAATAAGATGAAAGTAGTTTCGTGTATTTCTAGCTTGGTAAATAATATCGAGTAGAAACCATTTAAGCAAATTGTTCCCAGGATGGAAAAACATGCACCAATTTGCACCCAACTATATTTCGTGGTTGGTCTTTTTATAAATTTACTTAGCCTTGAATCGAAATAGATTAAGTCCAGGTGAAAAGGGGATTTCACTTTCTTGCAAAGTTCCACCATTTCTAGAAAGAGTTTGCCTCGTGCCGGATTCATGCTTAATGCAGGGGCGATACTTAATTAATAATGAAGTTATGTGTATGTAGGTGATTGTTGTTAAATTATTAAACAAGTCAATAATCGCTACATTGACGGCGTCATGTTCCTTATAATGGAATAATGGAAATACATAGCTAAGGATGTTCTATTGTGAGCAACTTCATTTAGTGCTACGACTCGACTGTCATATTGTCATATTTAAATTAATTCGGCTTTCGATTTACCCGTCTTTTCTTATGTAGGAGGAGAGCTTCACTACTTTACCTTCTCAGATTTAGATGTTCGACTACTTTGTAGGACACGTTGACCTACAAATAGTTTGACCCCGCAGCCACATTTGCCCCTACCACGCCCACTCAAGGGGGTAAAAATTACTCCAATAAATGGCTCCATGTTACAGGGTCAGGCGCGTAAGATATAACGATTTTGGCCTTGAATAACCCCGGAACGGTTTGTCGTAGCGGGTCAAAATTTTGAACCGACGAGCATGTTATCCTCAAATAGCCGTGTGCAAAAATTCAACTATCTACTTTCAAAAATGCCTCCCCCACAGCCCACAGAAGGTGAGGCAGTCATTTCAACTTGTTGCAAAAAAAAATTCGCCGGTGTTTGCAAAAAAAATTATTTAAATTTTCTGTTGAGGAATTGGAATGAGTTATTGGTGTCAATTGACGCAGAACTATTTTCCCTACAAGTTACTAATTGGGTTCGAAGAGCTTACTACACGACAAATGCCGAAAAAAAATTCAAGAAATTTGGTGGTTTTCAATGAGGAGAACTTTTTCAAACATTTTATGGTTGTGGGTGCAATGTCCGGTCGTGGTATCCTCCCACTTATCAAAGTTCCCCAAAAAGTGAACGTATCTGCAAAGTATGATGTGGACCGTGTTTTGAAACCACTTTTAGAATAACACTTTCCTAAATTGTACGGTGAAAAAATAAATAAGGTGATTTTTCATCATGACTCAGTGACTTCGAAAACGACAACGTTGACTCAAGATAATGCAAACGACCTTGAACCTAGAATGGGGATAAAAATCATTTTGAATAGTGAAATACCTGTAAAATCCCCCGATATAAGTCAAATGAACTTATTTGGTTCGAATACTTGAAAAGAATATTTTTTCTGCGGAGACCGAATTTTTTAGACGGAGTTTGGAACGAGTTGAAATGACTGTCTCACCTGGGCTGTGGGGGAGGCATTTTTGAAAGTAGAGAGTTGAATTTTTGCACATGGCTATTTGAGGATAACATGCTCGTCGGTTCAAAATTTTGACCCGCTGCGACAAACTGTTCCGGGGTTATTCAAGGCCAAAATCGTTATATTTTAAGCGCCTGACCCTACTGTAATTATCAATGTCACTTATTTCCCACACCAAAAAAAAACTCACAAGGCGTGACAATCAGAGATAGGCCAGTGGCGAAGCTCTCCTCCTTGTTCAGTCTAAATTAGTGATGTTAGTGAAAAATGTTGCCTGTACGTTGCACGTGGCAACATTGACTTAAGTGTATTTGTATTTATATTTGGAATAGTGTCAAACATTTACGGCTAGAAGTCGATTAGAATTAGGTATTCATATGTATGTCGCATTCAAACCTCCCTCACGACTTGATATTCAAAATTATATATGTTTAAATAATAATACTCTTGAACGGTTATATCATAGAGAATGTTCCGACATCATAAATCAACACAGCGGAAAAAAACTAAATCCGATATATAGTCTTCCATAATGCTACGCCACCTTAAACACCCGGGACAACAATTATAAAAACAAAAATTATTGTAACTATCATACATATTTACATATATGCCACATACCATGTTTTGATTTTCAAATATTTTATCCCTAATGATGACAGGAGTACAGTGTCGACAGCTTGGGAAATAAATTCATTTCCTTCTTTAAATAATGTCATACGACAATTCCTCTTTAAACTATAACTAATATGTCGGCCGTATGCAGTATTTATGCTGAAAAATTGTAACATAATGGAGAAGATTTCTAAAGATTTATAAAAATGTATTTCTGGGGTCTGCTGTATGTACTATTTTCGGGTAACATATTGTCTATTGCAATTATCTAATCACAATATTTATAAATAATTTCGTTATCATTACATATTCAGATAGAAATTTATTGAACAATAATTGACCATAAGTTTATTTACGTTACCCCAAAACTTACATTTTTTAAGGCGGATGTAACTGCGATTATAACATAATTATTTATGGACATGCTTACAACATGGCAAGTCAAACTATGTATGTATGTTACATAACTCATCTACACGTTTGATAAAAAGTACATTAATTGCCTAATTTTTAATGCTTGTATGTAGGTATCCCATCTGGAACCAATTTTCAATGGTAATTACAAGAGGCCTTGCAATGTCTAGTGCATGAAATTGACGATGACTTTTATCGACAAATATTTGGCGAAACGGTACTTATTTGTGATAAATGTAATAATTTGTGTTTAAAAACAACACGATTTATGTTGATTCCAAGACTGGGTGAGAATGTGGGCCATGAAAAAACCGCTAGGTTGCATATTAGTGTTATGCCTGAAAATATTACATGCTGGTACGTAAGATCTATGGAGTCATCATTAAAAAAAGAGACTTAAGCTTTGCATGTAAAGTCTCTTTTTCAAATGATCACACCAGCCTATTATAAGTTTTTTGCTTATTCTATTTCAGCCCTTGCTAAAGTTTGATTAATTCTCCCAAATGGAAAGCATATGTTAATAGCATAGCATAGCATATGTTATGAAGAATTTATGTTAATAACATATGTATGTACAAGTGAGGCATTGAACTCAGACAACGGGGAATTAATATTAATTACGTATTTATTGGTGAGGCATTGAATTGAGGCGAGTGATAATTAATTAATATTAATTACATACTGGTGACGCATTGTTAATCATGTAATTGAGTTGATCAACCACTGTAATGTAATTTTATTAGCGTTTTCCTGAAAAACTTCAGAAATAGACCGAATACATACATACTGGTGAGGCATTGAACTCAAGAGCTAAGAGCTAATTAATGACACAATCATACATAATTTATGATACGCTTTCCTATTTATCACCGCATTCCTTCGTCATGTTTTTTGTGTAATTTTTTCGTTTAGTGAGGCTATGCATACTGCGTCAGTATTTAGAGATTTAGAGACCAGTGGCGGTATAGCAGATTGCAGGCTAATTGCTAAGTTCTAGACAATAATCAAAATGGAACTGTGCTTCATATTGCTTACAATTTTTTTTTCAAACTCCCTGGGCCAGGAGTTTCCACTGGGTGAAATATCAGAATGGGGTGAACACGAAATTAGCTCTGGGGAAGCCACTCTTCTCTCCGATAAGAAATTGCAAATTACCAACTTTCATTATGACGGAGAAGGTAAAAACTGGTTGTTTTTTATAACCAGGGTTGGGCTAATCCCGAAGGATTGCCTAATCCTTAATCGGTAACCCACAAGTTCCATAATTACAGAAGGGTGCCAATTTAACGCTCTAACGAAGTTATGTTATTCCAACCAAAACTATTAAATAAATAAAAGGTCAATTTATTACACCCAACGAAATAATTAGATTTTTTAGATAAGGAAAAATGTACTTTTCAAACTATTTTTCGACCAAGTTTGGATTTTATTCTAAAGCAATATCGATTTTTCAAAATTGGAACAGAAGTGGGTTTTAGGCGAGCTCTTGGAGATTTTTTTAAAATTTCTTGTTAGACGAGAAACACGTAGTAAACTCACTATTATTTGGTTGGATTGGTTTATCATTTTGGTTGGGTAACAAAATACACTCGGTTGCCATTTCATTATTGGAGAAATTATTATTCGGGTTGGATAAGATTATATTTTCGTTGAGTGGTATAAAATAAACCCTTTACAAAATTAATCCCATTCTCCGGACGTTCTAGAATTGTAAATCTTAAAAATGGATTAATCACCCAACTCTGGTTATGACCTTATAAAAAAATGTCAGGTCCGGCCGCTTGGTTTATGGTGGGGAAAGAAAAGGATGGATACACTGAAGAGAGAGTTGAACTGGACGGACTCATCATTCCTAATGAGAAGGGAAGGTAAAGAAATCCATTATTTAGATACATACCCGGGTGAAAAATTTAAGGGCTTTTATGAAATATTTGGCTGGGGTTTTATGTAGAGAATTGGCTGGATTTTATGCAGAAACAATTATTGCACAAAATATGCAGAATGATGCATAATTGTGCTAAATCTACATAATATACATGTCAGAAGTTTTATGCAGAATCGTTCATACTTTTTCTGCAAAAACCATTATTCCCGTCACTTGTGCAGAATTATGGCAAATTCGACATACGATTTTTTCACCCGGGTAGGTTTACAAATATTTATAAACAATTAACTCTATTTAGCTGCGACATCCTGGGAGCATATGATGACGAAAACATCACCCTTACAATTCCGAAGGGGATGAAATTCACGGATTATTCCTATCTGTCTGTGTACTGCATTGAAAATAATCACAACTTTGGATATTTCCGTATAAAAGATGAATACGCTTTTACAACCCCCGCACCTATTTTGTTGGTTAACGTTGTAAGTTCTTTTTCACGAGCATACATATTTAGTTGGAGGGTAGAATTTGTATTTATTTAGTAAACGGTATTGCAGACGACGGGTGAAATTACGCAACAAAGGGATCTATCAGAGGATGACGCACCAGAAAATTGTAAGCCTATGATAAAAATGTATATATTTAATAAATTATATTTGTAGGTGGGAGGTAATTATGGTTAATCTTTTTTAAAATATAATTAACTGCCATGTATTTAGTTGATCCACTGTTACTATTAGGGACTCTCAACTCTGTAAAAAATCGTTTTTTTCTCAAATCACTTTTTTATTAATTCTGTACGCGATTTCGTTCTTTTCTTACTCTTTTGGTCCAAAATAAAATTATCGTAGCCTTGATTTTGTTTTTAAGCAAAAATATTGGAAAAAATTTCGAAATCGCTAGCGGAATTGAGAACAAAGCGTTTTGTGAAAGAGGGTAAAAAGGATTTTTCTTACAAAGTTGGAACTCCTTATTATTTCTTTTTTAGGTGATCAAGAGAATCTTGTGCGACGGCGGAGAAGGGATCTGGGAACTCCATATCGCAAGTACCAACTGAGATAGCCTTAGATGCTTTAATGTATCCCAGGATTCATAGGTGTAGTTTCAAAGAAATAAAATTTAAAATGACACTCAAGTTATACATACATACACACCGACGTAAATTCCTGGAGCCATAAAATCATACTTTGTGGCAACAATTATTCGAAATAGTTACATTATAATGAGCCTACTCAAGTCAGCCTTCGCATATTTCGCAAATTGAGCATAGCAACATAACTTGCGGAGTTTTGCGAGATATGCTAGATTTGGCGAAAATTTTGCAGGAAAACCATGGGAGTTTTTTCGCAAATTTACCCAAAGATTTGACATGTTCTTGTTTCGCAAACTGGTCCTCACCATCTCCAGAAATACAAATAACAGAAGTCCAGGGAAACAACATGGAAGTACTTATTTTTGGGTAAATTTGCGAGATATGAGAAATTTGCAGTCAGATTTTGCGAATCCCCTCATGACAGAATTACTTATGTTTATGTATCTTCACAAGTTTGCAGGATGAGTTGCGATACGAAATAAGACGCTGTCGTGAGTACGCGCAATATATTTTTTAATTATGGATATGCTTGATAATTCTAGGCTAATTAATTAATTACTTCCATGTGTTTTGAGAAATTAACTAAATTTTCGTCAAATAACATATCGTCGCATTAATTCTAGAAAGACTTAAGTGTAGTGAGTACTTAATTTTAAAAAGACCCAAGTGCAGGCAATATTTAATTTTAAATTTCTATTAATCTATCGAAATGGCTTTGTCAGGCAGAGAAAAATTACATATAACATGTCAGGGTTCTATTTAGTTAAAACTAGGCGACCAGGACCACAACCCCTGAGGGTGTAGTTTTTACGTTCCGAATAATCTGCCGAAATTGCCTGGAAAAAATGTTATAGTGCACTTCCGAATTTCAATTTCCTTAATTAATTCGCCGATAACCACACCCCCCTAAGGTGTTGCTGTTAAATTTCAAATTTTCTTTTAGTACTAGAATCGTGGGACCAACAAGTTCATACACATTTCAGTTCACCGTAAACTTTTGAATAAGTAATTGACTCTTCATAATTTTGGAATTGCAGTTAGGCCTTTTTCTAGTTTTTATTGTGCAGTTAGGTCTTTTTAAAATTAAGCAATGCACCTGTCTTTTTAAAATTAAACAATGCACCTCTGTTGTTAAGAAAATTAAACATTGACTGCACTTCGGTCTTTTTAGAATTAAGTACTGACTGCACTTATGCCTTTTTAGAATTAGAGCAACAATATTTATTTAACTCCTTATTTAATTCTTTATCCTATTTCTAAGCCAAAAGTAAGGCTGAGTTTATTACTTTTTGTTCTATACTCAAGAGAACGTTCCTAACCTAACCTCATAACAGGTACAGTGTAACACATAAATACATACATACATACATAATTGAGTAACTGCGAAAGGCATAAGTTTTATCCAATAAAATGTCTTTAACACCTAACATGAATTACACTGTGAATTAACTTGTGCAAATTTTCCCACAATATTAAATTATTGCTTTATAAATGTGTACTCACACTAATTTAATAACGAATCAACACCGTGCCGAGTTACCATGGTAACTCAGCATTGCTTTTTATCATTGAACGGTATCAATAAATTCAAATTTGTAAAAATTTGGGACTTGAGAACCAAATTTTAATTTCGTTGAAATTATTGCTGCTACTTGGTATCACATTCTGACTCCTCGTGGTATTTATTCGTTACCAAATTATTTTGAGTCTGGCGTAAGCCTGAGAAAGGGTTGAGGCATTTCATGTTTTCACAATATTGCGTAAATTTTGCACAAATTGATGTACAGTGTAGAAATGTCTATGTAAGCCGAATATTTAATGTGGATATTCAGAACTCCAAGTTCAGTTGGAGTTTTTCTTATTTTTTGAGAAGCAGGTTAGCCTTTTCATTGGCAACGTTTATCCTCGTCACGTTCGACTCGGCCTAGGAAAGTGGAATGATAATTTGTAAAATATTGCCCCTCTCCCTTGGAGAAGGCGAGTAAATTTAATGCATTTACCATCATGTTGATCCTGTCAATTTGATTATTTTGATTTCCAATCTCTCCTCCCATGTCGATTGCCATATTTCTCAAATTTCCCACCATGATAGAAACTTCGTCCATGTTTTGCTCCATCTCGTCCTCCCTGGCATCATTGGAGTACCTGTAGGAGTAGAAATGTGTAGGGTTTAATTTGCATTTTGTATGATGGGTTCCTAATAGTATGATTGACAAGCGGTTTGGCGAAAATTTATTTTCGCCAATACGCAATAACATGCTAATTAAAATATAATGTAAAGAGAGTGGTATTATCTTTATCATTTAGCGTGCTCATATAACTGACATTTTCGCCAAATGTGACATTTTTTCGCCACATGGTATTTCAAAAAAATTGTGCTAAAAATGCCTTTAATGGATGGGTGAAATATTTTTTCGCCACATGGGACTTTGTTTTGGCGAATTTTTTTTCACCAAAATAGTTTTCGCCAAACTGTCCGACTTCCTAGGATTTTTTTGTGTTAAAATACACATCTTTCTAGTTTTTTTGTGTTGTCAATTTGTATTAAACACAGACAAAATACAGAAAAGAAGAAAACACGGTGTTTTAAGAACCCTGTTTCTACACTTAATTATATCCCATCATACTTGGAAATGAATCCTCCATATGTTGGAATTCCTGCCCCGTCCAGTCCTCTTCCCGGGCCTGGACCCCCACTTCCTCCTACGCCGTCATCGTTAACCTTGAACATGGCGTCGTCCTTTGATTTCCTGAAAAGCAGAGGTGAAAGTTCGGAGAATCATCCCCACAAATTACTATATAAGTTAACAGTGAGGTTTAGAAATCAGTCGAACTTTGGGTTGCCTCGACTCAACGATTTTGCAATGAGACGAGTCGAGTAAAACACAAATTTGACTGACAATGGAACCTTTTTTCAAGCTACACCGGGATTGTGTAGCGAGTTATATCAAAAAATCAAGCCAAAACTTAGGAATCATATGGCTCTAATCATTCCTTTGAAGAAAAATATTTAGGACAAAGTTCAATTTTTTATTAAATTTTCTCTCTCTTTCTCTCCAAGTAGTGAAAACCAAGGCCCTCATATGTACTTTCCCCCCAATATTTTTCTTCAAAGGGGCCATTCAACGGAAAGATAAGCGCCATGTGATTTCCAATTTTAGGCTCGATTTTTTTATATAACTCGCTAGAAAATTCAGCTTGAAAAATGGTTACATTGTGAGTTCTAAATCTCCCTAATAACTCACCCAGCACATATAACAGAAAGCGGAGGACACAGGCCAAAACAGCAGCCACCCATTCCTTGCATGGCTTTTTCAGCTTCCACCATGTCCTCGTTGATATCGTGCATCCCCTTCTCGATGTTGTCGAGCTGCTCGCCTTGATCATCCAGTGCGACGAGGGTCTTAATCCCGGCCTCTTTGGCCTCCTCACACAACAATTTCATCCTCCTGGTACTCGACAAGGACTAAATATTCAAATTATTAATTAGTAGCGCCCTTATTTATCGTCATGGAAAACTTAAATATTCATAAATATTCCCACTGATGAAGGGACCCTTAAAGGGAAGAGTTTGCCATAAATAAGCAACAACTCTTCAAAATGGGATACTCAAGTCAAGGAAAAAAATCCGGTATACAGAGTCTCTAACCCGGTCCCCCATTAATGATACCGATTTATAACATAAGCTACTGTTCATCCAGTATTATTAGTCGCAAAAATTTCTTAAAGGTTACCTGACAGATTATTTATTTTTCAATTAGCAATCAAATAACCTCTCAGAAAATTTTCCAAGAAATTGCGACTATTAATATTAGAAGAACAGTAGTGCCATTGTTATTACTTGAGGGTACGAAATTATGCTTTAGGCATTTGAATTAAAGACATTTAAGATTGTATCTTGTTGAGAGGCTTATCGGCCGACCGTTGAAAACTAAAATTTGCATTAGGTGCAATTAATATAGAATGACAACAATGTTAACCTTAATCTGGAGGGCCAGAAAAAATTGATTTTGGGCGTACTCACAACAATTTCTTATTTCGCATCGCAACTCATTTAGCAAACTTGCGAAGATCAAAATATTTTTGTCTATCAAAATATTTGACAAATTACAATTACTTCTCTAAAAAATTTGCTTCAATTACAATTTCAAATTATATAATTGAATTGCATCACAAATTACCAATTACTATTTAATATTCAAATAATTTCAATACTTGCTCACTTTTAACAATATGTACATATACTAATAAATGCCTTTACATAAAAATTTCCACCTAGAAAAATAATTTACAACGAAAATTTTGCAAGTAAAAGCATTTATGTATTAGTACATATGTGTATTCTTAAAAGTGAACAAGTATTGAAATTATTTAATAATGAATGTTCATAAAAGAATCTCAATTTTAATTAGTAATTTGTCTTATAATGTGTTGCATTTACGTATTTTAATGCATACGGCCCAATGTGACAAAGGAGTTACATGCATACATATACACCCTAGTAATTAATTCTGATTCAATTACAAAATTGTCTAAAGCGAAATAACGCTTATTTTTATCCAAAATTCAGCGAAATGTTCACATATGTATGTACAAAAGTACGGCAAATTTAACAAAATCATAGGTGGTAATTTAGTAATTGTAATTGAAAAAGTAGTTGAATTAGAATTACACCATGTTGAAATGTGCAATTACAAATTACCAACTACATTTAGTTCAATTACAAATTTCAATTATAATTACATTTTTTGAATCAAGCAATTTGTAATTGTAAGTGTAGCTGTCAATCGTAAATTCTCCCAGAAACTAACATCCGTTTGGCCACCCCAGATTTATTGCAGTTTCCGTATATACTAAACGTGAATGCATTCCGTGGGATAAAATCGGGCTGACTTTTCCTGCTATGCACTCGTTGTAATGTAACGTTTTGCAGAGAAAGTGAGCCAGTAGGGCAGGAGAGACGGATCGATAAATCTGCTCAACTTTCTCTCGCCCTCTTTCTCTCTCTCTTTCTCCGTGCCAAATGTCTCGCCCTGTGTAATCTTCCCTGGTAGGAAATCCCTCGCAGAAATTCACAACAATAAAAAAAATATATTTATGTATGTATTTACCTCATCCGTTACTTGACTAGCCTTCAGCTGTAAGGATTCCGCTTCATTTCTTGGTTGCGGTGGACTTTCTGGGGGTGGCGGAGGCATTTTCTGAAATTTCAAAAATAATTAATAAGAGAGGGGGCGGGGTCCAAGCTCCAATTATATTGTGGCTATGCTAAAAGAGGGGGGTGGGGTAGGGGTCAAAAAATCGGGTTTTTTTGATAACGTAATGTATGAACTGGCCTTAAGACGAAAAAGCTAGTGAGATAAGTGAATGATTAAAAAAATTAAATCTAATTTAGATGAAGATTTAACAATTAGTTTGACAAAAACTCCTTAAATTCTTGAATTATGAAAATATTTAAAAAATTATGGACTCACAGCTTAAGAAATTTAAAACAATTATCACGTATGCACGCCAAGAAGGACACGGACACTTAATAAACCAAAATATTCAAGGGAGATTGATGGGATTAAAAATCTGTTTTTGTAAAAATGTAATGTTGAGCAAATCCGAACGGGAAGAAATTGAGCAGAGCTGGATCAGAATCGAGCTCCAGGCCAAGGCTACGAGAACGCACTGCAGCAACTGCAGTGGTCGAGGACTGAGTGTTAAAGACACGAGTCGGAACACGAAGAGAAAGTATTGTGCTCGTGAGCAATGTATGTACCGAAACAGGGTTCCCGTGTCGCATTTGCGGCGTAAATTGCGTGTTGGTAGGAAAATCGGAGCAAAATAGGTTAAAAACGAAGAAATATGCAATGTTTTGATGGCCTATTATCGAACAGGGTTTCCAGCATGTGGGATGTTTTGCAGCTTTTTATGTAGAAAATATGTAGGTACACAAGCACATGTGTGTTTTTATGCTTTATCAGAGTTAAACGTCAACGTCATATCGTAAATTTGTGTTAAACAAATAAAAAGACCAAAAACACGATGCGAAAAAATTGTGTTAAATGACAGTTTATAAAACAGGGTTTTAGACAGGGTTTCGTTGTGTCGAATTAAAACCAAATTTGATTTTAATATGAGAGGAAATAATTTTAAAAATTATTTTAGACTAGAATTTTATCAGCTATGTACCTTGATTTCTGACCGTAGTTTTCTAAATTTGGTGAATATTGCAAAATAATTGCAATTTCGCTATTAGTTAAGACTAGCGTGTAAGCCCGTCTCCCGCTGGGCGAGAGTGAATTTATTTGTTAAAATTCTACCGAATTAGATGTTTTGTACATTATGAAATCAAATAACCACCACCCTAAGATAACCACATCCCTAAGAAATCACCACTCTGAGATAACCTCAACCCCCCGATAACCATAGGACCACGCCACAAAGAGCATCTGACATTTAAGTTTTTGAATTTAATTTGTTTTAAATATTCACGCCACTCGAAACTTAACTTTCTTTGCTTTCACTTCTGTTTTGGAAAATTACTTTCACTTCCGTTGCAGAAAGACATTTCCAACTTATAATATAGATCGATATGTACAATGAAATCGTGTTTTTTCATCTTCCAACGCTTTCCATGTTTGATAGCTCAAAATTTCCGTACTTTTGTGTACATGAGGAATCCGTAATAATATGGTGGGGGAGGGGGTATACCAGCAGTTTTCGGGATTTGAGCCAAAGTGTGCGAATTTTATGCAAATTTTGAGTTTTGTTTCATATGCATTCAATTGTGGTTAAATACCACTGGAAATAATTTTAAAAATTGTATTGTGCCAAACTTTGGCCACTATCTCGATTTCGGACCCCATTTTTCCAATTGGTTGAGTATTGCAAAATAATTGCAATTTCGCCATTAGCTTAGATTGATATATATGCAATACAATCGTGTTTGTTCGGCTTCCTACGATTTTCGAGTCTGATGGCTTAAAACGTGCGTAATATCGAGTATATCAATAATCCGTAATATAACTTGGGGCACGCTTACCCAGTTTTCGAGATAAATGCCAAAATGTGCGAATTTTTTTGCAAGTTTTGAGCTTTTGAGTCACGATTAAATTATGAAATTTTGATATGCAATTTAGGTTAGCCCATAAGTTAGTACATAGAATGGATTTATTGGATAAAATCCGTTACTTATGCCCAATTTTAGCAGTAAGCAACGGGAAATTTTGTTAATTACAGGTCGCCTTGTTTTTAAACTCCGGTGACTTTTCCACCCGGTTATTGGTTGCTACCTTTTGCGTCTGGGAGTTTTGTTGTGCAATTTTTTTTGCAACATCATACCAAAGGTAAAGCCTTCTCGCAGGCACAAGGAAAAGAGTATGCTAGCAGTATCCGATTCAGGGATGCTAATAAGTCCCCATCAAATTTCAGATTAATATGACAACATTTAGTAATCGGTGAGGGTCACCCCATAGGGATCGTAAATAATAATATCTTAGCAATTTAGCCTCAAATTAACTGTTGCATACTCGGTATCGACCACCATGCAAATTTTTAGCTCTGCACGGCGATTCTGTTAAATCGATATATATGGGTCATCCCCTTGGGTCCCTCTGGTTGAACATTTTGAAAATTTGTCTTCACATTCTTCATTACAAGTCATTATTGACCGCTGAGCGAAATTTGAGCATTTTACGACGATTCTGAAATTTTGTTACACAATAATTCCACCATCAACATATGTACATGACCCCCACTGACAAATTTCGCTCATCTACACACGAACTTAACCCCACTTTTGACGTTACATATGAACGCCAAATTTTAAGTCAATCGGATAAGTTTAAAAGGAGTTGTAGTGAACACGGAGAGCCAGAGAGACACTCGAGCAGACATGATGACTACACAAGCCCTGGCTTGTGCTAAAAATTATTATTAAGTATTGATCCTTTCAATGTAAACGATCAATATTTCATGTAAATCTGGATTGATGAATAAAATGAATAAATGTAGGGAAAAAATGTTAAATTTGGTGGTAATTTCCTAATTTAAATTAATTCTTCTTTCTATCCTTAACCTAAAACCTACAATGCAGACTTGCCTAGCCCGAGCCAGGGGTTTGATTATATTTCTTAAATCATTACGGATAATTTTACATTAAAGTTGGACTGACCTACTGTATATTAATAATAATTTATTAGCAAGGTAACAATTTTATAGTACAAACTGATTTATGACCCAGACCGCGTCAAATTCGATAACATGCATACATATAGCTATACGTATACAGTATGTCACTTTATTGTAGATGCAAGGCATGTATGCATTATATAAATCACAAATACTCCACAACAGGTTAATATTTCAAATTCGTTTTTAGACCAATTATTAGCAATATTTCATACTACATTTGTGCAAAATTTCAAATGAATTGGGCTAAAACTGGTGAAGTTATAGATACTTAAATGTCAAAAAGTTGCAAATTGCATGCCACAAAATTGTGGATGCAGCTGAGTTTGATAACGATAATGACCCAGTCTTTCAGTCTACATAGAAATTTTGTTGGGGAATGTTTATTTTGGGTAAGAACAGTTGTTTATATTGTCAATAGAAAATATTTAGTAGAAATTTTATTCCAAAATCGTACATGACAACGAGGTCAATCTAGGATTTCTGGTGGAAAATGTCGTGAGTTATAAAAAAGGGTTAAGTTGTGGAAAAATTTTCGGAGAACATGAAATTTCACAAAATATTGTCAAAAGAATGGGATTAGATGAAAACTCTTGTGAACAAGCACGACCGTGGTCAAAAACGCAGCACATCGCCGAGTGAGGATGACGCAATTATAAGAACAGTGAGGATAATCCTCGTCTGCTCAAACCAAAAATTGCGAAAAGTGTTTAAAGTGACCTTTGAACTGATGACCATCTATAATGGATTAGAAACAGGCAGATATTCACTGAATGATCGGGAGATTTGGCAAAATAATCTGTAATAATAATAATATCCATAATAATAATAATCTCCATAATAATCTGAAGGAGAGGCCATAAGGAATACTTAGCCTTGGATAGGCAGAAGTCAGGACGTCCGTTTGTGAGAGGAAAAAATTTTAGTTTCTAGATTACACCAAAATTCCATTTCCTGGTTCAGATGGAGTGGCCAGAGTGTGGTGGAATCAAAACGAAAGTTCGACAAATTAATTTCTGGGACCAATTGTAAAAAAATAGACGTGTCAAGGAAATCTTAGCTGTGGGTACATATAGTATATGGTGTGAAACCTCTGACTTTTTGCAGGAATGTAATTGTTGGGCGCAGTCACAGTTAGGTCGGGGTATTAATATTCAAATCTGTCGCTTATGTCATCACAAACAAGTCTTATCTTGATTTGCTGAAAATAAATCTTTGTCGATTTATAACAAAAGCTGACTTTGGTCAGCGATTTATCCATCAATATGGCGAGTATTATATCAATATTTAAAAAATCTTCTCAAAATGCTTCAAGGGTAACGGAATAAAGGTGTTGGGTTGGGTTTTTCAATCCCCTGGCCTCAGTCCGACCTAGCATTGCGGCAGAACGGAAACCGACAAATGGAGCTTCTCTGAAAACCATAGTCACAAAAGAGTGGTGGAAGATTGACCAAAGTGTCACTAACACTTTGGTAGATTCGATGTTAAGACGAATTCAAGCCGGCATTGCCGCTAAAACTAGGTCAGCAACATATTGAATTGGCAGTTCAGCTGCATCTACAATTTTGTGGCGTGCAATTTGCAACTTTTTGACATTAGAATCTCTATAGTTTTGTCAGTTTTAGCCCAATTCATTTGAAATTTTGCACGAATGTAGTATGAAATATTGCTAATAATTGGCCTAAAAACGGATTTGAAATATTAACCCGTTGTGGAGTATTTGTGCTATATATAATGCATGCATGCCTTGCATCTACAATAAAGTGAGATACTGTAGCTCGTAAATTCTCGTCAATGGTGTACAAGAAATATCAATGCTTAATTATATGATCATTTTTTCACCATGACCATCTTAAATTAATTATTAAATTAATTATTTATCATCATATTTTTTTCCGCGGAACAGTAATTTTCTCGAAAATGCAGTTTTACAACTTTCCCCCATAAGCGCAATGTTATAATTTTACAAAAGTGCATTTTCAAAAACATTACTTTTGTGCAAACAAAATTATAATTGATATAAATTATAATTGTTTTGATGAGGGGAAAGTTTTACTTGTTTATAGTGGTATTGGTAATTGGGTAGTTATTTAGTGTCGGAGAAAGTGACACAAGTATAAAAGGGATGAGGAAAGAGCCATAACCATGCGGGAGCTTTATAGTAGCAAGAATCCAAGGAATAGTTTTTTTGTGTTGCATGGAAAAGAAGAGTTAAAACCCGGGTAAGTTGGGTACCGCTTTAACGTGAAGGTGAATATACGTTGTGGGCCCTCCGTTGTTTGTTACATCGGGCATGAGTCCAAGCCTTGATTTGTGCTGAGGGAAGGGTAGGATCACGTTTACTCTGTTGCTTGTGCATCCAGTCAATGTTTGTAATAACGCATTACGCGAGCACGGGGATATGGGTTGGTTGCCGGTGATAATATTTTCACATGATTTGAGCAGATTTGCAGTCGCTTTCACCGACGTATGAATTCTGCCTCTATATCAGAGCGTCGATTGGACAACTTGTTAAGTGAACGCCGTGTAT